GATGAGAATGGGATAACAAACCTTGCTGAAACCTTCCAAGCCCCCGGTACCGTTACCTGCACTGTCTCGGGGAACTCGCATCAGCATTTGTGAGGGAGAAACTTGCCATCCCTATTTTGTGAGTGAGGAAACTGAGGCAAGAAGAGCCTCGCAATGGTTAACAACAGGAAGCAGCCAACTGAGCACACAGCTACTCTTACCACATGCCTCTCTCCGGGCCCACGCAGAATGTCGTTCTTAATAATTAAACAAAACTGCAACTGTTTTCTCCAGTGAGGATAAGGCCCCGGGTGATATAGCACTAGACGCAAAAATAACATTTTCTTACCACGATGTTCGCCAACCACTGGCAGGAACAGGGAGAACAGGCATTCCTATGACACACTGTTGGTTTTTATTGGCTCCAATTAATGCTCAAAAATAACAACCCTAAAGGCTCCCCAGGAGCACAGTTGCAAGAGACTTCTTTGGCACATGAGGCTAGAGCACATCCCCAAAGCAGGGCCTAGCAGGGCTCACTCTATGTTTTCAGCGCCATCACCAAACACTGGTAATGGTCGTCTGCCCGTGAGGACACTGGTGCTCCGTAGGGGGGCATGTTTAGAGGCAAAATGTGATTTCAAGGAAAGGAACTGTTGCTCCCCAGACTGAAGGAGCTGCAAAACCAGCACACGCGCCAATGTATTCTAGTCAGTGCGGGGGGTGTGTGTGTGTGTGTGTGTGTGTCCTGTGCTTGCAGCTGTCTGCTTCCTTCACTCACAGCGAAGCTGCAGGAGACACACTGAAAAGGGCCCTGTGAAAGGACTCCCAGGTGCCACCAGGACACAGACCTCACCACTGAACTATGGTACAGTGTGGGACACCGAGCTCGTCACACAGAAACTGTTTTCTGCCGTGACGCTGGCAATGGCATGGGTAATAAGGAACCCTGGCATATACGCTTGTAACATGTCTCTCAACTTCATGCCAAGGGAGCTCCCAGACTATGCCTTTGCTGCATTCTATGGGAATTTGGTATTTCTTGAAAAGAAGCTAGTAATGACAAATGATGAGTATTGTTCCCTTCTCGGGAGGTGAAAGGAACAGAATTATAAAACAGAATTCCCAGTGAAAACACATGTGTTCGCTAACACACAGACACACAGACAAACACACATGGGAAGAGACACTTGAGCCCAGTGACACCCACCACACCTGAGGACAACCAATGACAATAATCACGCTTTGTGAGAGCAATGAGAAATCCATTCCGGGTCTCCAGTTACCACATGAATGGCTGTTTGTTTTGTAGCCATCTTCACTATTATCTGAATCCCACTTTATTTAAAGTCTGTCTAGAGAGTCAGGAAATGAACAATCTGTTCGAGGTAGCTCTCCATCTATGTCAAGAGAAAAGAAAAATGACTTTCCAGGAATCAGCTATGGCTTCATTCTGATGTCATGTTTTCCTATTATAAATCCGAACAGACCAATCTTCTCCTTTGTTTTCTTTCTTTGGCAAGATGGTGTAGCTACATGAAAGAGAATTTCTGCTTGACTGGATCAGTTGTTTCACTAACAGACATGTCAATATTTTCTGTATAACTTAATTTCTTGTGAAACATTTTTCAGTTTATGATTAAACAAACCACATTCTATTTCCCTATTTTCTCCCATCATAATATCTTTATAAGCCATTTAAACCATAGTGTGTGCCCCCCCGCCCCGCCCCGCTGTCTGTGCTTCTGGAGTCCTTCTAGAGGAGCTGCAGGAGCAGCTGGAGGAGGAGCCGGAGCAGCTTCCTCAAGAGTCAGGGGATTCCTGGGCTACATTTGTGAGCACACATCTCTCTACATGAAGCACTGCGAAAGCAAAGAAAGGTGTGCTTGTATTATTTCTGCATCCCTGGGCTGTGCACACAGACATTAAATATTTACTGAAGACATGAATAAGCAGTGAAAAAATGGAAAGAAAAGATAGGCACATAGAGGGAAGGAAGGACGCTAATAAAAAATTAAGAGGCATGGGTGCTGGGTGGTTTAGAGGCTGCTGGGTCCTGCAAACTTTGCTGCTTACTAATGCTGGCTAGTCTCATAGATGGCTAAGTAGACCCGGGTACAGACTCTGTACAGATGAATATGGGTCCCTGTCTTTGCAATAGACTAGTCACTGTTAGGTGACATGATGTATATTATGGACTATATCTTGTCATTTATGTTTATTGTACAGATTTGAAAACAAAAATTAAAACAACTAGTAATCTTTAGAAGAATTCTCCAGTTTGTACTTATTCTTAGGCACACAGAGGTTCCCATATGAAAACCAGAGGACTTATCTGTTCCCAGGCAGATGTGCCATCCACACACACTCTTCTTTCCACACCTGTGAAGATGAGGTGTGAGCAAAGGTTCAACACTACACTCTTCCTTTAGCCATAAGCGCCTGTTGCTATGCAGTCTCAGTGGGAGCCACCTCAGTGGGGTGGAGAATGTGCCTTCTTCTGCAATCCACCTCCTCAGAGCTGGGAAGCAAATGCCATGGGAACCAGGAATGGAACGGGGCAAAGCATCAGCCAGAGCATTGAGCAAAAGTCTGTAGCACACGAAAAAGCACTGGTCCCAATTTAAGAGACTTACTTTTCAGGAATTAAGTCTCAAATAACGAAGTCATGGCAAAAATGTTTGCATTTTCCCATACAGAAAATCATCTGCCCAACATGTTGGAGAGTAATGAGAAACAAAACCCTAAACCACCACTCTGTATTTGGTTCCCAAAGTCTGAGTTATAGCCCTGACTGAAAAAGTACCTTACTAGCTGTCTTGTAGACACCCACATGCCAGCTGTGTCTAGCAAAAAAAAAAAAAAAACAAAAAAACAAAAACAAAAAAACTGTCGTACATGGAACACCAAAGGACCCTGTAACAAGGTGATGGGCACAGCAAGGTGATGCCCAGCTGGGGATTCTTATTGCCATCCATCCTCTTACACATCCTGAAAGGAGGCGAGATGGTGGAGGCTGAGCTGGCCTACAAAAGGAAGCCCAAGTAGACTGACCGCGCTGGAGTCACTGTCCCCAGCAAGCATGTAGAGTCCCCTACGGAGTGTGACTTCCCTCCAGAAAGCCCAAAGGCTGCACAAGTTGTTTGCGCTTTCACCCTCTCTAAATGACTTGCAAATTTATTCAAACACAATATGAAAGGATGCTCTATTTGTTGAGATAACTGTCGGCAGTGTCCTGTACTAAGGGGTGAGGTACATCAAGCAGAAATGTGGGCAGAAGCACATTGGCTTAGAAAGCCATAAATCCTTATTTGAATCTGCCAACCTGAAAGCCATGAAGAGCTGGAATAAACTATTTTTCCTAAATGCTACATCTGATTAAGCCATACCATCAAGTGACAGCTGAACTTTAACATTAATATGATATTATTTAAATAACCACATGATTTTTTTTTACACTAAAAATGATGAATGATTTCTGGACAGCTCGATCGACAGAATGCCGGAGGACTCTTTAATGAGATGTGACAAAATGGAGGCATATGCAGAATGCTCGTTACAGCTCATATGGCAGGCCCTCCCCGGGAAGAGGAAGCTCTCCTTCCTTTGTACTGCCTTTAGGCATGGAAGCATCTCTTCTCTGTGAACTTTCAGTTTCTCTTAGGCCATTTACCTGAAGCTCTTATGCAGAGAACCCACAGACTTTGGGTCACAGTTAGGATGGCACCTCCAGGGAAAAGAAGGGTGGAGGAAAACTTGGTTGGTGATGCCCTAGGAACTTGGGGGTACCACTGATGGAGTCACAGAGAAATTACATCAGCTCCTGACATGTCACAATTATACATTTACTTGATTCTTACAAAATCGACGTTCAGCACACGACACAGCTGTAGGAAAGTACTGTACAGGGTCCATGGCCAGAGGGCGCTAGCTTGTCAGTGCAGCTGTCTCAAAAGAAGAGTTCCTTTTCTAGGGTCACTCTCAACACTCACTCATCAGCCATCTCACTCCACACCAACATGACCATGGTAGAGGACTGTTGGAGAAGGGGTGGCTTGTTTGTTCCCAGCCGCCCATACTCCCGAAATAGTCACACAGAAACTGTATTAATTAAATCACTGCTTGGCCCATTAGCTCTAGATTCTTATTGGCTAGCTCTTATATTAATTTAACCCATTTCTATTAATTTGTATATCACCACGTGGCAGTGGCTTACTGGCAAAAATTTGGCATGTCTGACTCTGGCGGCTCCATGGCGTCTCTCTGACACTGCCTTCTTCTTCTTCCCAGCATTCTGTTTAGTTTTCCCTGCCTGGTTCTGTTCCCCTAAGCTCTGGTATAGGCCCAAAGCAGTTCTTTTATTCATTAACCAATAAAAGCAACATATAGACAGAAGGACCTCCCACACCAGAGGACCTTTTCGCTTCGTAGAGTACTAGTGGAAAATAATTAAGTTCAGAATAGACTTAGAATATTACCCATCTTTATTTACCTTTTTATATTTTTCTGAAAATTTTCCATCAGTCAAAGTTTAGTCACACACAGTACTTAAAAGATTATTCTGATAACTGTGACAGTCCTATAAATCATCTTGAAGCATGTGCATGAAGTCACAATGCTTCCCTAAGCAGCCTTTTTCTCAGCAATGAAACAAGACGACAAGTAAAGCTGGTACCCAGAGTTCTCCGGATGATGGAAGGCCTGCATTTCCTCAGTCAGAATTGAGAGGAAAGTCAGTGTGCTCCTGCCATGGGCCTTCCTCAGGCTACGAAAAAAAATGCTTCTTGTCTAACCCTAATTTTTTTCTATAGCTTGAGGTAATCCCTCCAGCTCAAGCCTTGTCTCTAATCTGAGTTAGCCACGTGGGTAACCCACAAAAGGGTTAAAAACAGTGCCCTGTTATTTCAAAAGGGTGTTGATATAGCCTTGGAGGGAAGAGAAGAACCCAGGAGCTTGTAAAATGCTCCATCCCAGTGTGGCGGAAACAGTTAAAAAGAGAGAAACAGAAGGTCAGTCCCTACCTGGCTCTTACCTTCGCAACATCCCTGTCAGGATTCTGGAGCTTTTCCCCAAGTTTGCATCTGTTTCCCGGAGCTAAAGGGGAAAGTGTGGTGGGAACAAAATAAAGCAGAATGAAGCATCAGCACTCAGAGGGGTCTAAAGCGCATGCTGAATGATAGCTGAGTTTCCCAGGAGACAACAGTAAGAGGCATTTGTGATGCTCACACAGACTCAGTTCCTAGATTCAGAGGATGACCTGAGAAGATTTAAAGTGGATACCCGGACAGGATATAAAGCAAATGCCTCACACGTGGTTCAGGGTTTAATATTCATTAATACATGAATGTGCAAAGTCCTAAAACTACAAACGCAAAGGAAAGGAAGCTGAGGAAGAGCGAGGGTATTTTCTATTTTCACAATCTTTGTTCTGAAAGACTGATGCACCCCAAAGCTCCCTCAGTGGCCTGTTTCTTACCACAGAGGGCACTCTGAGATGAGCAGAGTCGGCTACCTCATCCACCATCTCGAGCTCTTGCTTTCTCTTCCTATACGTGGCCCTTGTTCACCCTCGTCTTTCTTAGATCCCTGTCCTTAACAGCTACGCCGTCACTGTCTGGTGTCCATCCCAATGAATTCAGGAACATGTAAATGATGGTATGATTCGTACTCACTCGCTCACGTGCCCGCTGTATCTTTTCTCTGTCATGACTAAGGTTTTCCAACATCTCTTGGCCGATTTGCTCTATGGAAAAGAAAAGAAAATGTCAGGAATGGTAGCATAGGGTACATATAGTTACCCAACACATCCCCACAAGGACCAGAGTGATCATGGATACAGAACCAAGATGAAAGCAGTGTCCCTTACATACCAGATACATTTCAATTAATGTATTTGAAATACATAACAGTTTTTGGTAAATTTACCTATCTTGAGGATGACTGGGTACAACTTAAAATCCAAAAAGCAGGCTGTGGACAATATGGCATCAATGAGTTAACAGTGAAGTGACTTTTTCAAGGCCACTCAAACAAGTTTCCAGCAAGATGGAGAGCCCAGGTTTTTACGTCATCACTGTACAGTGTTTGAGTTTACAAACTGAGAGTAACATGGACGAGTCCTGCCCCTCTCTTACGGCATCATTTACCTATGTGAGCCAACATCCATTTATAAAAGTTGTGCTTTTAATGCATGCAGTTCTCAGAGTCCGCAGCCACTGCAGCTAGTGGTAGCGAGACTATTCCTTTGCCTCCACTGTCCTGGAGGCAAGAGCGCGTTCATGTGTTATCAGCTGCTGCGGATTCTCCAGTCAAATCAAATTCCTGGACCACTCCACACCACCTAGGAAGCCACACTCTGACTGTGGTGAGGACTTCCCTGACACAATGATCGCATTCGCCCGTCACCTGGCAGTCTCTCTTCTGACCAGGCACTAGGTATGACCTTGAAGACACAGCTGCTTTGAATGTTTATTTTCAATCCCATTCACTGTCACCAGACTTAGAACAAAAGTCTGCAATATGGAGGACCACAAAGCCATTTTTTCCAGGAAAACATGATTTAATACTACTTCCTATTAAAATAGACCGTATTATAATACCTGAGTTCAAACAAATGGAAAGAGATTATTGATGCTGTGTCTAACACCCCAATTAGTACTTATGGGAAGAATCAAGAACCAAAAGAATGTGGTAGAGAGAAAAAACCCAGCAAGTGTTAAACTATTCTTCCAAGCCCTTGGAGCACAGCCCCAGAGAAGGCAGCCCTGGAAAGCAAACCCAGGAGCCTCAAGTCTGTCAGGTTCACCAGGGAAACTCCACTCTGAATCTATCTAGAATCCTCTACTCGAGGAATCAATGATACTAGGTCAAGAACTGGGCTGTTCTTGAAGTCATAGCCACACCCACAAACTCCTTATTTCCGGGACAGGATCCAGCAGCACAAGTATAAGCCCATCTGGCAAGAGAGGAGAAACTTGCAAAAATGTGGCCCTGGTCATTTTTGATGGGAAGAAAATCCTTCATTTCTTAGCTACTTATATTTTAATATATCAAAAAAGAAAATCCCAGGCAGACATATTAGAGATGGTCGGTCTTATGGACAAAAAATAGACAAAGAAAGTGAGGAGACTGCTTTTGATACAATCATTTGTCAGATAGTATTAGATATTAGGGATTATTTAAGTTAAAAGTTACAACATGGTTAGTTTGGTCTTTCTTGAATTATTTAAGTTAAAGAGACTCATGGAAAACACCAGTAAAGCATTCAGGAAGGCTGCAGAGCTGGCTCAGGGGTTCTATAGTTGCTGCCTGCTCTTCCAGATGTCAGTTCCCAGCACCCACATAGCAGCTTACAGCATCTCTGCCACCTCAGTCCTAGATATCTGAGGGTACCAGTCATGCGCAGCGTGCAGACACACAGGCAAAATACTCATACACATAAAATCAAACTAATAAATAGTACTTGTAAAAAAGGGGCTGGAGAGACGGCTCAGTGGTTAAGAGCACTGGCTACTCTTTCAGAGGCCCTGAGTTCAATTTCCAGCAACCACATGGTGGCTCACAACCATCTATAATGAGGTCTGATGCCTTTTTCTAGTACGTAGGCATACATACAGATAGAGTACTCCTACATATAAAATAAATAATTTTAAAAAAAGGAAAAAGAAATTCAAGCTCATAGACTTGAAACAACGGCAAACGTGACACGCCACGTCTACATTTTTTTTTAGTTCCCTAAATTTTCCTGTGGTCATTGGCAGGAACAGCTACCATACACCTATGGTACAGTTAGAGATGCACACTTCCTGGGCTTAGGAAACAACGGGAAGCAGAAAATAATACTGATTTTTGCATGTTGCAGCTCTACATGTCAGTGTGACATGATGAATGAATTCCTGGAAGGAAGACTTCCTTCCTGTCCTTCCATTTTCTCCACAGAGGTCCTGGGAATCATCCTGGGGACACAGCACTCAAACACATAAAATGAATTGCTTTTACAATTACACAGAATCAATCATAGTGTCCATCCTCAGCCCTTTTATTTATAGGGCACACACTTGCGAAGGGTCTCTAGGTAACACTGCATCTCCTCTTCAGCCTTTTGCATGGTGTATACAATAGGCATCCAATGCTTTCCTGTCTCTGAGTGAGCGGAATTGAGAAGGAAACAGGTAACCACAAATCTAGCAGGACACTTCCTGCAGGACCTGCCTGGCATCTCCAGTATAGATAAGATCTAGGCTGAGGAGTGCATATCTTGGACAACATCATGCCTTTTCATTTATGAAAGAATATTGGACAAATTGTATACACTCATCATGAGGCAAACATGAGTGAATCTTTAAAAGAAATTGGATCGGTACTTTAGCAACGAATGGCTTAAAATATTCCCTATGAAAAGTCACATGTGACCGAAGCTTACATCATTACAAATATAGGTGGAAGAAAAAGGTGCCTCAAATCTAATTCAGCACAAAATGTTCCATTTGATAAATATGTATTTTTAAATTTTCACCGCCATGCTAAGAGCAGTACACTCTCCAGAGGGTACTCATTATTCCTCAGCACAACTGTACTTTTTACAGTTAAGGATGTGGTTTCCAGAAAATTATTTTTAAAAGTGAAGGACACCAGTTAAGTCTTCTTTAAATTGCCAAGAGGAGACAGGGTTATTTCCCAACATTTGAAAACTCCATTATCAGTCCAGAAACGGGGAAGATATCCACAACAACCCAGTAGTTAGTATACATCTGGGGCATGCGTGAAGTGCCGAAGCACACATCTGTGGTGTGTGTGAGGTGCAGAACCACACATCTGGGGCATGTGTGAGGTGCAGATGTACACATCTGGGGCGTGTGAGGTGCATAAGCACACATCTGGGGCACGTGTGAGGTGCAGAAGCACACATCTGTGGTGTGTGTGAATGCAGAAGCACACATCTGGGGCACGTGTGAGGTGCAGAAGCACACATCTGGGGGTGTGTGTGAATGCAGAAGCACACATCTGGGGGACGTGTGAGGTACAGAAGCACACATCTGGGACATGTGGGTGAATGCAGAAGCACACATCTGAGGCACGTGTGAGGTGCAGATGTACACATCTGGGGCATGTGTGAGGTGCAGAAGCACATATCTGGGGCACGTGTGAGGTGCAGATGTACACATCTGGGGCACGTGTGAGGTGCAGAAGCATACATCTGGGGCACGTGTGAGGTGCAGAAGCACACATCTGGGGCACGTGTGAGGTGCAGATGTACACATCTGGGGCACGTGTGAGGTGCAGAAGCACACAGTGGAGCCACCTAAAGGCCATTCTGAACCACGTGCTTCATGGACTGCAGGGCAGCAGCTGCACAGAGGATGAGCACGTGCTCTTTACTAACAACCTGAATTTTAGACATGGTGACTGGGACTTCTGGCCACTGAACCTAACATAAGGGAGAAAGCTGAGGGGAGATGGGTGAACACAGACTTCCCAGATCGGTCACTGTCATTTGGACTGTGTTCTTGGGCAATGGGTCTGGTTTTGCACCCCAGACTTAAGTGTTGAACTCAGAACTGAAGAATCTTTGGAGTTCCTGACACAGGGAAGGTAGCATGCCACAGAAAGGTTTTCACCATCTCTCTTCACTTGAAACTCAAGACGTGAGGGGTTTCTGCTTCCACTATGGTGTAGAAAGTGCACCAAGGAGCACCTCCACAGAAACAAGGAAACAGACAAAATAATCGGTGAAGTCCTGGAGGACGGGCAAGTGTAGGAGGTGCAGAGAAGCCCAGTGAATTCTAGAGAGGTTCACGTACTGCCTACGGGAGGGACTGTGAGTAGGTCTCCTGTGCAGAGTGAGCACTTAGTCTGGGTACGAGGGAAAGCAGGCAGGTCACATGACCACGTTGCTTCTAGGGTGCAGTGCAGTCTAGCTGAGCACTACACTTCAGTCCTGCATGATCTGATCATCTCCCCTCCATATCCATATGCACTCAGGAAGAGGCAACGGTGCAAGGCCTGATTGGAGGAGCATTCCCACATATTCTCACACATCCTCACAGCGCTTGTGTTCAACACACTATTGGAGGAAGTCTGTCTCAGTGTGGCACACACATCTGAAGCTGCAGATTGACCCATGCTAAGATTGAAGACTAGGATTTTTGGTTTGTTAGCTTTTAATTTTGAGGCAGAGACAGGGTATGCAGTTTACGGTGGCCTCAGACTAAGACATACCCGTCCTCCTAAGTCAGTTCCCAAGGGCTGTGGTTATAGATTTGCACTGCTATGTGTGGAGAGAGTTTCCACTCTTTCAGTAGCATCAGCATAGGCTGGGAGCACAGTGGCCACAGATAGAGCCAGTCTGCTTATCAGATGCAGCTCAGCAGCACCCGAGGCTGACTCCCGGCAGACGCTGACTGCACTATAGTCCTAGCACAGCAAGATGTTGTCAGAGGCCAACAAACCCAGCAGTTTATTCCTCAGGACCCACACTGTTTCATGTACAAGTCACAAATGGCAGGGAAAAAAAGAAACACCAATCAAGAGAAAACATCACAGATATAAGCAGATCAAGTGACCTGAGATGGAGGGATCATCAACAGACATATGGGGGTAACCAGAGAAAAGACAGGTTTTCAAGATATAACAGAAAACTCTAAGGAGCAAAATACAATTTCAGAATGCAAAGAAATAGTTTCTGAGATTAATCAAGTATTGATCAAACAAAAGAGCCTTGAGTAGGAAGGAAGAATCTTGAAC